AAAAAATTACTTAAATATAAATATACTATTGTTATATTATAAATAAAAATTCTTGAAATTAATAGTAGTGTGTACAAATACCAATAACATAATGATATACCTTCTGTAGCTCATAAAGACGAAAAATTCTATGTTAGCATCAAGTCTACTCTGGTCAATTTTATCTTGAAACCAAATATCTTAACACATATTAATAACAAAATTAAATATATTGCATGTAAATAATACACACGGTTCTAATGTAGCTTATATATAAAGAACCAATTATGCACAAATACGAATAATAGAATACTATGTCTTCTGTTGAGGGGGGGGAGGGGGAGGGTCCGTTAACGACATTACACTTTAATTTTATAGTAAAACTATGAATGATTATTCCAGCGAAGTGTATTTCGACGACAGCGATAGCCCAGGGCAATGACTGTTTATTATTACTTCGATAGTCAATCACGAAGCAGTATAAGCAGAAAGTCAAAGTGAATTGCCTTGTGATTGGATGTAAAAATAACGAGCAGTCATTGCACTGCTAGACTGCACGACGAGCTATCGCTATCGTCGAAATTCACGTCACTAGAATAAACATTCATAGTTTTACTACAAAATTGAAATAAACTGTCGTTATTTCGGACTCCCCCTTCTGTACCTAATAGGGACGAAAATTTGTATACCAGAATCAAGTCGATCCTGGCTTAATAGATCAAATATTTAGCTAAGAATCTATTAGCCCAAGTTCAAATCAATTCAAAGGCACTTTATTCTATTGTTTGATTTATATAATCATTGTTAATAAGTTTATAAATTTTAAAATAGCTAAACATAAGAAAAAATAATATTTCTTTTACTTAAATAAAGGCGTATAAAAACCATTTGATTTTTTTGAAAAATCGTGATAACGAAGAGGTAAAACCAATTGTTTCTGGGGGGGGGGTCTCGAAATAACGACAGTTCACTTCAATTTTGTATTGTAAAAGATGAATGTTCATTCTAGTGATGTGTATTTCGACGACAGCGATAGCTCAGTGCAACGACTGCTCATTGCTTCGATAGTCAATCACGAAGCAGTATAAGCAGATGGTCAAAGTGAATTACCTTGTGATTGGATGTAAAAATAATGAGCAGTCGTTGCACTGAGCTATCGCTGTCGTCGAAATACACGTCACTAGAATGAACATTCATAGTATTACTACGAAATTGAAGTGAACTGTCGTTATTTCGGACCCCCCCCCTCCCCGTTTCTTTGTGGTTTTACTATGTAGCGTTCTGATGTGGTTTTTCAAAACAGAGGTAGCAGCAATAGACATTTCACACTTGACCATTAAATATTACTTTTTTGTGAATGTATATGTTTTCAAATATTATTTCTGCTATACCTGATAAATTTTTGTGATTATGTTTGTCATTCTGGCCAAATAATGCATGGAATCTTTACGATCACGGGTAAATTTGACGATAAAGTTGTCTTGAATTAACAAATTAGCAGAAGCTTGAAGGAGTGATGGTACAGGTATAATACCATGATTTGGTCCATAACTTTCAATCAAGTAAATGATATTTTTAACGCCTGTCTGCTTTAGTCTGAACTATAAATTAAATATTGAAGTTTTCTCTATTCATGAAAATATTATATATATTTATATAGAAAATGAGTACTTTCTGTTCCTTGTATCTTCCATCAATAATGCTAGCACTCAGATCATCAATTCTTTTTCTTTCAACAATATATGGCAGGATAAGTTCCTTACTCGTAGCTCTACACCTTGCAATCCATGTAAAATCACCAACTTTTAGACTACGTGTTTCAAACGAAATTCCGATGTTATTTAGCTCTGTTCCAATGTGACAACTTTGAGATTTAATTTTGGCTCTGAAAATCATAAAAGGACTCTGAATTATTTATACAAAACTTTTATTATATTTATACATTGAATTCTTAGCATAACCAACTCACCCACATGTTTCTTGAATGTCAACTAAAAGCACAATATCGAAGTTTTTTGACCAAAAGAACATCTCATTATTCGTATTACCTGCAGGTGAACATTTAACCTTTTGACTTGCTGTCTTGACATCATTACATTTGTCTGTATTAAGTTGATGGTCTTTTGTCTTTAGTGTAACTTGAGTTGCAAGCTTAAAAACATTATTAATTAAAGATAAGATTATAAAACAAATTATGCTTCATTGAATGTGAGTTTGATACACAAATGCAAAATTTTTACAAATCTTTTGCCAACTTTACAGTAAGTACCATGAGTCTTTACAGCAGTTCTGTGAATCCCGAAAAAAAGTTTTTTTAAATACCTTCATATCTGGTTCTACAATTTCCTCACAAAAAATATTTGAATCCTCTGATAAGTTGAATGACTTCACCAACCCTGGCCTTTCAATTGATGTATTATCTCGAGTCTTAACATAATTTGTGGCATGCTATTAAACACAATAGTTTACTCCACTGAATAATTATTCTAAAGATGGTATTGCAAAATGAAGTTTAAACATTTACTTTATCTTTGAAGAAATTGTAAGCTTCGCTATCATTTATGCCATTAATATCGCCAATCACAGTATTTTTCAAATTAACTACTTGTGTAGATAACATTTGACTTTTCAAAATTAAAGAGGACTCAACTCTAAAGGGCTGAAAATCAGATGAGGAACATTTATCATTTTTTAAATTTCCGAAACTTAAACTTTTTGTTTCAATTCCATTATTCAAATGAGATAAAGACACAGCGTTGATTACAGGCAAATTTTGGACCTCTTTGTATTGCTGCAGCTTCTTATCAATCATGCCACACAACTTGTGTCCAAAGTTCTGCAAGATATGGCAATCTTTCCCTGTTTCCAGACGTAACGGATACTGTTTTAGAGAAGCTAAAGCTTTCCGAAAGGAGTGCACTGCAGGAGAATTTCTAGCCAAAGCTTCTTGCCTCCATTCGTTTATCCATGCTTCAAACAGGGGATTTGCAGAATTTTTATCTTCATTGGCCTTAATCATTCTAGGTATACTTCAAACTTTATAATGGTAAATTCAATTTCTCCTACTGAACCCAATTAATCACTTTCAGAATTAAAATAAATCAATGCACTTAATCAATTTTATTTTAAAATAAAAAGTTATATATATACTAAATAATTTTGTTTATTATAGCGTCGAAAATCTGTGATACTCTACGATAACCGCCTGCGCACAGCCTATACAGCTGCCCGATCAGAATATCAGAAATCGTATCTTGGCTGTTGCACAGGCCTGGCTAGGCTTAATAGACCAAGAGCACAGGCCGAATGATGGTCAAAATTTTGACCAGCCGCCACTCTCACCAGAATTAAGGAACCTTATGATTTACAGAGATCTGAGATATTTCGGTCATATTACATAGTGGGTAAGAGTTATGTGGTAATTATAGTAGTGCCGTATGGTTTTTATTATTCACCAGGCCGCAACTTACACAAATGGAAAAAAAATAGAAATTTGTTATCCTATAAGTACCGGGGTAGTCTGGCCAACTAAACTTTATCACGTTACTATGAACGACTACTTGACTGTAGAATAATTTAAAAAACGCAAATAAAAGGGGCCGGATGTGTAGAAATAGTATCCAATTTGTTGAGTTATTTATTTATAATAAATGTAGTTTAAACATGAAAAAGTGAATGCGTCTCAAACTAGACATTCTACCCAGGGCCGGGGTAGAGGTGGCCATACCCCGCGGTACAGTGGCCATCGATTTAAAAGGTTATTTTAAATGTTGCTACTAAACTTACGTCTAAAAATTGAAAATTTATGTAAATTAATAATTACTTACATAACAGATCGATAAATAAATATGTATATCGACATAAATATTTTTCCGTCAGTATACACATAGAATAAAGAGAAATATATATTTTTCGGTATATCGTTGTAATTGCAATCGGAATTCATTCCAGCCTTTATTCACAGTTTTTCTCTTATACTTACGCACCATGACTTATTTTTATTGCACCTTTAATACCGAATTGACTTAAAATATGACTAATTACTTAAGTACTGCATAACTTTCACCTGACACTGTTTGTTTCGTTTTGGCTATAAGTACGATTAAAAAGTTTAGGTTAGGATCCGCAGATTAGCAGACTGACTCAGTATTGACGTAAACAACAAACTCGATGGCCACTGTACCCCGGAGAGATGGCCACCACACCCCGAAATAGGACTATTTTAAATTACTTATAATTATATTTCTAAATAATATTTGGTAAAATAAAAAAAAGCAGATTGTAGATTGAGGTTCAAACTTTCAAATTGTGTCAATTTTGAATCGATTTGATGTATTTTCCGCTTCAGGCAAGTTTAATAATGTAGCTGTTCCTCCAAATTTTTAGCTATCAAATTTAATTATTTAAAAATTTAACAAAAAGTTATTCTATGGTTTTATTTTATTGACGGCATGTAAGTACAGATATATTTCAATAAAAAAAAAATATATTCCATTTTTATCTCAATTAAATGGTTGAATATATCCAGTGGCCTGTTTACCAGGGTGGCCACGATTACCCCGGTCTCCTTAGTGCCATTTGCGGNGTGCCTTCGAAGATTATGATTATTATATGGATACTAAAAATATCGATCAGATCAGCTTAATCATTTCTTAAAAAAAAACAACTAAAAATTAATGAAAATTATGTATAGGCTCAAAATTTTTATTTTTTTGAAATTGATACTGTATGTTACAAGTGGTTGTAACCACAAAGTATAAATTAAAAGGAGCGTAATAAATACAAACCAGAAAATATAATACATGAATGCAAATAAATATTTTTGTATAATTGGATGTATGTTTATATTTGATATTAGTACAATAAAGGTAAGCTGTGCTTTGTGCATTCTAATTTTTTTTCTTTTACGTTAGATGTTAATAATTTCTTGGGAGCTTTGAAATTTAAGAATTACACCCATATCCTAAAAGTTATTTTATTATTGTGAGATTACAGTTCATAGCAATTATGATGAAGAAAAATAATAAATTAGTGTTCATAGCCTAACTGCCATCCTTAAAAAAATAGCTGAATATTTTTTCAAAATAATACTGGGTTTGAAAATAAGTATAAACGTACGGGAAAAATAAAAAAAAAAATGTTTCGAAATCAAATTCTATGCATATAATGATGAGCATTTAGTTCCACGGTTTAATTGAATCAGATTGATAAATAACATTGAAGCAAGATCGAGAGAGCAAGAGTCAGTTAAATATACATAACTTATACTCGGTTGCAGTCAAAAAAGAAAAACTTGTGTCGTCGCTTGCTTTGGCTGTGCACTCAGCTATAATGCTATAGTCGACATTTCCGCTCCTCTCCTCGTAGGCACACATTCAGTACACCCCTTCCATGTGTTTCCAAAATGTGCGCCTATGTGCTCATTTCCACGCGAATCAACTCCTCTACTCGTACACTGAGAAAGAACTCGCGCGTCTGCTGCTCCACAAGTACAGCTGTTGCGCGAATTAACCAAGCAGCCCTTGACTATATCAGTGGCGCATCAACTGCACCACTTGGGCCGACTGAACGTCCAGTGTGGATCGTCATTACGTACTTTACATGTGGTGATTGACGCTTGCGTTATTATTATATTTATTATATGATAATAAAGCGACATCTCAGCGAAAAGGGTTGTGTAGTGATGAAAGCTGGCGTTAATATTATATTGATTACAAATTAATTAAGGAACCAGTTAGCGCCTCAGGTTGTGTGGTGATAAGCGCTTGCGTTTTTCTGATTTTCATAATGAATCTATTGAGCGACCAGTAAGTACCCGAGTTGATTATTATATGTAGTATTAATCAATAAGGCGACTAGTAAGCCCCTTCGGTTGTGTGATCATTGCTTTTGCGTTATTATTATATTTAGCTCTGGGCTGTCTGGGGATTAGCGCTTGCGTTATTTCCGTTATTTTATAATAGAATAAAGCGACTGGTAAGGTCTCTTGGTTGTGCGATGATTTGCTCTTGCGTTATTATATTCATTATAAATTAATAATACGACCAATTAGACCAATTACGACCATTGGCGCTTGCCTAATTATTAAATTCAGTATTAATAAATAAAGAGAACAGTAAGCGCTCCGAGTAGTTTCGTGATTTGCGCTTGTGTTATTATAATATTTATTATAATTCAATTCAGCGACCAGTGAGCACCCCGGGTCGTGTCGTGATAAGCGCTTACGCTTTTTAAAAAATTTTTATTTGTTATAAAAAATTTTGTGGTATAACAGCTATACTTGTTGTATTGATCAAATTTGTAATTTTAATTTTAATCATAAGATAATGATTTTCGACCAAAGATTTAATTAGCGTATGTTATAGATATCAAAACTTAATATCTTTGAAAATTATATAACAAGAATCTGAACAGTAATGAAAAACAGATCTTATATATTAAGATTGATTCTTTGATTAGCAGTTAAAGCTTTTTGTCCAACGTACTATTATAAATAAGAGCTACGTAGCTACAATTCATTATTGGTCTAAATTATCAAGGTGAATCATTAGCGTCCGAGTGTCTACTGCGAATAAGTGCATGTTTAAATTTTTATCAGTAAAAACATTTAGTTAACACAATAGAAAACATTTTTGTAACTTTTAAAATTGTTTTAAATCCCCTATCAAGTATTTTACTTAGTCCTAATTTCAGACTGCAAAAAGAATAATAAAACAGCATTTCGATCAATAATTA